TTACAAAGAGACATGCTGTTAGGGTATAAGGTGGGAGGTAATGAGAAGGAGAAGAAAGGTAGGAGGGAAGTGAGGCTGAACGGTATTGACCGTAAAGGCCGAACGGTGGAAGGCACGGAGAGGTAAGGCCGAATAGTGGAAAAGGGGGAACGGTTAGACCGAACGGTGGACAAAGGGGAACGACCAGGCCGAACGGTGGGAAGCAGGGAAGGACTTGAGCCGAACGGTTGAAGAATCACCATCTTAACTGCACAGCGGTGTGGGGGGGGGGGGGGAGAGCTAATTACAGTAAAAGGAGCCACAATAGGAGAGAATATTCAGTATAAGTTAATTAGAGTAAATAAATATATATCCTAGGGAAATATTCAATATAAGATATTTATAATTAAGGATATATGCTAGGATAATATATGGGGGATATTTATATTAAATATAAAGATATTTATATTAAATGCAGATATATTCTAGGGAAATATTCAGTAAGAGATGGGGCGGGAAATAATTAGTATAAATAAAGCTAGAGTCTAGGGTTAAGGGAGAGATGTGACAGACATTATTGTCTTGTGAGGGAGGTTATGCTCCCAAATAATTGATGGAGGTTATGCTCCCAATTATTGTTTACTTTTTTTTTATTCAGATATTACCATCAATAAAAGATATTCATTCGTTAAATTCCATTCTTTCATTATTCTTTTGCTTGTTGTGAGTGTGTGAGAGGGTGATTTCGTTACGTCTCCTACTCGGATACATAACACATGCCATTGAAGAGCTGTGTGAGATTCATACCTCTCAGCCGATGTATTAATATAGAAAATTATGCAATCTGAAATAGAAAAGGTTGATAAGAAAACCTACACCCTAGGACCCTATATGATTGACAGGTACAACAGAAAATAGCTTTACAAGACGTTCTAGAAGACAATAGTAAAATGTTTCTAACAGGCACTTTCAACACGTTTTTTTGTCAAAACGATGTTCTGATTGGTTTTATGTGTTTGCTTGCAGTTGCGCACTTAAATATTCAAAGGTGTCTAAATTCGAAGTACCTTTGTTGTACATTCTAAATTATATTGTCTTTGTCTCTTTCCAGGATACGGTTTTCTTCATACATTTTCAAGTTTTCATCTCCATGTTTTGATTTTGAAGAATAAGGAGCATGTAATTGACTAGCACAAATATGGTTTTGTTATAACTGAGCTGTATATGGTTTTGGGTCTGGTGGGTTTAAAGAAGGCATGGAGGATATTCAGTTGACCATCAACTGGGACGATGTAGTCTGTCCTATATGTTTGGATTTTCCTCATAATAGTGTTCTTCTTCAGTGTTCATCTTATGATAACGGATGTCGTGCTTTTGTTTGTGACACAAATCAATTGCACTCTAATTGTTTGGATCGCTTCAAAAATTCAAGTGGTGTGCCAGCCTCTCTGGTGTCTTCTACTGCTTCTGCTGAAAATACTGAAAATAGCAATGCTAAGCAATCCAATGATGAATGCAATCTGACTTGCCCCTTGTGTAGAGGTGAGGTTTCTGGGTGGATTGTTGTCGATAAAGCTCGTGGTCATCTTGATGAGAAGAAGCGCTGTTGTGATGAGGTGCAATGTACATTCATGGGAAGTTACTTGGAGCTGCAAAAACATGCTCAGCTTGAACATCCTCATGCACGCCCATCAAAAGTTGATCCTGCACGCCAACTTGATTGGGAGAATTTTCAACAATCATCAGAGATCATAGATGTTCTGAGTACTATTCATTCAGAAATTCCCAGAGGGGTGGTTCTTGGAGATTATGTGATTGAGTACGGGGATGACGATGCTAGAGATGAGTTTGAGGACTTCCCTGGAGATGAGGGCAACTGGTGGACCTCATGTATTCTGTACTTTGATAACTTCAGAAGATCGAGAAATAGAAGAAGGGCAAGAGTCAGTCACACAAGAAGGAGTAATCGCCGTTTAAGTTATGATACTTCAAACTCTGATGAAGGTTCTGTCGCATCTGTGGAGTATGCAGATTATAGGATAGAAGAGACTGATGATGATTTTGTTAGTACAAGTGGCTCTTCAAGGAGTAATGCTGGTTATCGCAGGTGTATAGACTTTTCTTTCTTTGTTCACCTTTACAACTCATGTCTTTATGGTGAAGTTGCGTGCATAACCTTTTCAATGTTTCTTCTGGTACCATGATAAGTAGTCTTCCGTTGCTAAAGATGAATTCTTCTGAAGCTTAACATTCTAAACAAGTTACCATTTTCTACGTTTCCATTTTAATACTCTAACTTTCTAAATGAATGGTATTTCATTTGCATTACTGCAAAGCGTGTAATTACTCAATTGAAAAACAAACATGATCTTATGATTTGTTAGCAACCTAAGTTTTTGTGGTTCATTCAAATGTTACAGTTGTAAATTAATGTACTAGTTAGCTATTTCAGGCTATTTTGATAGTTTTTGACTTGCTATTGAATTAAAAAAAGAGCATGGTATGGTGCTGAATATTTCTTTTTCCAAAGTTGGATTTAGAAGCAATTTTCTTCGACAGTTAATGATTAAATTCATCTGACTCAAATGTTTGCACATGTTATCATTTCCCAGTTATTCAATATGACTTAAAGACTGACTAACTGTATTAGATTAAGTGTTTTATTTTGATGTTTGAACTTTGAATTATAATTTCAATATCCTTATCTCAATCTTGTTATTCACAGATCCCATAGACGTCGGTCCCGCTTTTATGACAATTAGGTATGTTTTGGCTGCTCAAGATTTTGTTATTGTTTAAAGTTCCTGATTATGACTTAAACACACTGCTAATTGTAGATTTCCTTGTCTTGAAAGTGCACAACAATGGTGCTGAGGGATTTTGTTCTACTTATTACCTCTAAATATGTGTTTGGAATTTTCTCAATGTTTGCAGACAGTGTGTGAAAGCAAAACTTCAGGGGACATGAATCAGATTGTGATTTGTCATGCAAAGAATACATTTAGCTCCTCTGTTGCTTTTAGCTTGAGATATGGTGATTAGAGGACTCTGTAAATTTGACACTTGCATGTGGTCACATACTCAGTTTCATTTCTTTTATACATTTGCCTATTAATTTCCTCATAGGCAGCCACAGTGATTTAGCTAGCATTCTGCTGCATAACTATGGAATAATGAATTTTTTTTATCTTATTTTGGCTGTACAAATAGGATATAGTAAATTGATTGTGATATGAAGAATAACACAGATGCTAGCTTCTATGTCACTGAAAAAGTATTGTATGTTAGTTCCCATTTACTAATTGCCCATGTCACTTCAAATGTCAGCAATTACATTTGTAATTATGCATAATGGTTGTATGGGAAGTTTCTGTTTGGATTCAATTTGGTTCTACTTGAACTTTATGCAAAATATCTTGCAAAACCAATTCTAATGTTTTTGTGGAGATGCAAGAATTGTGTAGTCTTTGCCTATAGCTTTGATAGATTTGTAAATGCTATCATTTATAGATTTGTAGAATCAATTCCTTACACTACATTTCTATGTAAAATCTATGATTGTGGTTAATTTAAACTTGCAATCATTATCTCAATCATGTTTAATGGTGTAAAATTAATTTTATTAAAAATGAATTCTAATAAACTTTAAAACAAATAGGCCAAGTAAGAGCATATCTGATTTAGGTGAAAATTAGTTCTCCAAACTCTGGCGTGTTTTAATACAAAATCTTTGGTTGAAATAATCTAGGGGATTTCTTTTTGCAACCTCGTGATTTTTCTCCACGTTTCCATAAATATGAAGATTCTCACTTTGTTATTCTAGTTTAAAGATTTATATTTTTGGATCTTGTAATTCAGAAACTTTTAGTATCGGGTAAAATGTGAGATTCTGACTGGAGAAACGACGATGGAAGATGAGGAAAGAGCATCACAAAAAGAATGATCAACTTTTACATATATACTTTCATAGAGGCGAAAGAAGAAACCATGGGTGCAAAGAAAAAAAAACATCATCTAATTGTTTAAAATCACATTTTATATTGGATTATTAATGGTGTGGGAATTAATATGATTTATAATGTTTTGGTTCATTCTTTCACATATAAGATGATAATGAGTCTATTTTAAAACTCACTAATAATATTTAAAAAATATATTTTATAAATTTTTAAAATAAAATTTAAATAAAATTATAAAAAATATATAAAATATATATAAATTAAATTAAATATAAATTAAAATTTAATTTGACAAAATATAAATTAATTTTAATTTTAATTAAATTTAATTTAATAAAGTATAAATTATTTTTTTAAATTTTTTGTAAATAATTGATATTTATAAATAAGAATAGTATAATATTTATATTCGATCCTATTTAAATATATGTAATAAATACATGTGAGAACCAACGAACTAACAGTTGCAAATGATATTTTGTCATTATTATTCACATGTTGAAAGTTTTAAATGGCTTTCTTGTATAATATTTACACACCAAATGTAATAAATAACAAATTCTAATATAACCAATGCAAATATTTCTAAATTTTGGTGTGTGTTTTAAAAGGACGAACTAAATTATTTTGGTAAAAATGATTTTTCAGGTAGCACTCAATGAAAAATTGTTTATTACACTAGCATTATTGATTGTTACGTAATTAGATAATAGCAGTTAATTGACCACAGAATATTTATGTTACTACTAAAAGAAAATTAAAGTAATCAAGGAAACTTCTTCAGCTATGTGACCGAGCAATTTCTCATTCTTTAACTACAATTAATTGGTTTCAAAGTATAGCATCACAGGTGAAAAAAAATACTCATCTTAAAGCAAACCCGGTAACATTTTCATTTCATATTTTGGAATCCAAACAATCATTTCTCTTCCTATTTGAAATCCATATGGTTTGATGTCATAAATCACAACTTATATTTTGGAAAAACGAAACCAAATACATAAATGCTTTATGAAAATGAAACACTATCTAAATTATTCTCAAAGCCTAAAACAAGAAAAAGAGAAGTAAACAACCATCAAAATTGAAAATTGCAACTCCAACAGGAATACCACTCAATATGGTCCAATTGTTTTCATGGCTACAAATATCACCAATAAACTGTTTCCTTGAAATGATATTATAACCCCCAAACTAAAAATAACACCAATTAAAGGTGTCCTTATGGTCCAGATGTTGATGAAAACATCAACAAAAAAAACATGTAGAGTAGCTCCTGTTTCTCTTTAGAAGACATCAAATCACTCTAGTTTCTTTGGATTCGTTGTGGATGATTCATGAGATCAATAAATTTAAAACTGCTTCAGAAAGAAAACTGGTAGCAATGGCTCCTAATATGGGACATTATTTGGCAGGTTTCGGATAACATTACTCTTCATTGCTATCTTGGAACGCATATTCTCCACACCTGACCTATTCATTTCCTTCAGCACTTTCATCCTCACAATTTGCTCCCTTGATTGGACAGTGGTCAAACCCATGCTCCTGTACCTGAAATTAAAGACAAAAAGAATCGCTCATCATCATCTGACTACGATTTGCTTGAATCACAAAGAAATAGATCACAATGTTTGGAAGGTGAACCTTGAAGCCAACGCAGCAGTAATGGCCATACTATTTGCTGGTGATGGTCGGGGTTTCTGACGATAGTAACGCAAAAATTCACGAGAACCAAGTGTTCTGGTTGATATTCTATCACCAGATTTCCTGGTGATTACGAGCTCAGACCCACCAACAAGTTCTACATTGTTAGCTGTTTCACCAGATACAATGAGCTGCTTGCCCTGATCATCCACATAACTGAACCAAAAAAAAATATACATTGGAGATTGAAGTATAAGCCTTGCCATATTTATAGAGATAGTTTACAAAGAACAGTGAGATTGAAATGAAAGCAGCTGGAACTGTACTAACCTACTGCTGTAGTCATAGAACTCTTCTAACTCTACCTCTTCCTCATCATCACCATCACCAAAGTGCACTTTACAATGGCTTTTTGCTGCCATATGTTTCCTGACTGCTTCTAAGCTGCTGAAAGGATAACATCGATCATTGCAGTACAGACACTCGTAGTCCCTTTTGACCTAGAAAATGAAAAGAAGAAATTACGACCAAACCCAAACCAAACTTTTTTTTTTTGTTGATATGTGTGTGCTGTAGGGGTAGAACAGAAATATACCCTAAGGCCAAGATATGTGAGGAGGCCTTTTGGATCCTTCAAATACTCAACATCTGGAATGAAGAATCCGTGATGCTTGTGCATGTGAACCATGCAGTCTTCAATTGTTTTGTGCTTTTGATCACACATAAAGCAACATGAGGGATCTAACTCAAAGTCATCCTCATCATTGTCATCTTCATCTTCATCCATATCAACATTTTCACCTTGCTCATTCACATTCAAACCAGTCAAGGACTTTGCAGCCCCATCAACCAAATCATCTTCAGGATCAACCTCCTCCCATTCATCTTCACTTTCTTCATTTTCAGAGTTATCTACCTCTCTTCTAGGAGGAGGTCTATTCACAACACGTTGTGGAAGTGGCTTAATTATTGCCTTCTCATCTGCATCACTAGCTCCTTCAGAGGCCCGCATCATATGACCACGTGATTTAAGGTGCTCAGCATGAGCTTTAGAACTTTTATAATCCTTTCCACAAAGACCGCAGGTATACAGCATTGGGGTCTCACTCACTTTATTCTTCTCTTGAGCAATCACAGATTGCCTAGCCAGAAATAGTGCTTCTGTCACCCCAGGAACACCAGCCACCTATATGTATTAAAAAATTTAATTTCAATTTAACATTTTTAAGGAAACAAACCAAGCTCTTCCTGGTAAATTGAATATTCACCAAATCCTCCCCCTCACTTATTGGAGGGTTATATATAGTTAAGGTAAGATATACTTTATATAAGTATATCTTAGTCAAACAACAATCACATAGATGGTTAAATTTATTTTAATTCGTTTCAATCTTAATCACCCATTTCAATTACATGGTTGAAATTTGCTTCCTCACACTCATCTCTTTTTCAAGTGATCATATGACTATTAAATAACTCCTTAATCCTAATAATCTGAGATAAATTTACTCCTCTAACTTGACATCTCATATATGTGTGTGTATGTCTCCGTTTGCAATATACCCTAATCTGCTATATATTTGCAAGCTTGACAACGCTATTCATATAATTTGGTAAACTTCTCCAAGAACCTAAACTCAATCAACCTAAGCACTAAACTATCAGTTTTCTCACCTAACTTCTCCCAATAAAGAATTACATAAGTTGATTTTAACTTACAAGAAAAATAAACTAATTTTACTTTCTTATTTTCTTCTCATAAGTGCTCCAGCATATTATCCAAACAGAGTCTAAAACACCCTCATAAACACACCACAACAATTGCTCCATGAAATGTTCTAAACACAACTGATTCGAAGCAGCTTTACCCAAGCCAACCCTCACCGAAAACACATTCCATATTACAACACAACCCACACAAAACAAAATTTACGAAATAATAAAAAATAAATGAATAAATAAATAAACAAATAAATAACACAACCCACGACACATCTCTCCAAAGAATTCAGGCAGTAAAATAACAACCCTAACAGAGAAAACCTTATTTCATTGCATATTCTCAAAGCTTTCAATCTTTCTGGATTGAAACATACAAATAAAGAAAGAAATCGATTATGAAAGTTGAGAAGAAGAACAGAACCTTGCGTTTGAGATTGTAGCGGTGCCACTCGGACTTGTAATGGAGCTTTTGCTCAGTGTCATCTTTGAATTCCGTGTTGCAAGCGTTGCACGTTAACCCTGGCATGCTTCGGAGATGTTCACAGTGTTTTTTTGTTTCGATTTTTTTGATGAAACTGAAAAGGCGAAAGCAGAAACAGAGTGTATATATATGTATACACACACACACACACGCGTGAGCAAGAGGATTGAGGAACGGTCGGCGAAACGAAGATGAAGAAGGTTTTGCTCTCAGCGCTTGCGTCATTCGTTTAGGACCCGTTTAACATTCTTATTGAGTCTTTTCTTTTAGGCTTTTTCTTTATGCACATCCACAATTTCTTTGTGCACCCCAATAGTAAAAAGTGACTTCCGAATTAACTGTTTTGAAATTTTTTCATAAGCTTTTTAAAATTTTCAAATTATGTTTTCCCGAATGAGAATTCTGAAAATTGGATTTTTGGAAAACATAAAATGTATTGCAGAACAAACTTTCAGAATAAGTTCTGTAAAATAAATTTTCGAAACACATTAAATGCATTTTAAAAAGAGCTTTCCAGAATGGATTTTTTTTCCCACTTGTTCTCTCTGTCTTTCTTCTTCATGTGGCAACAATGGTGGTTTGGTGTAGTAAGAAGTGTATCTTTATAATCTTTTCTGCTTGCGGGTGTAGGAACAAAAGCCTCTTTTTTGTTTTGGGCTTTTCATCTGTGCACCTCCCAATATGTGTGAATGACCAAATAGTCCTACTGCATTTATGGCTAAATAAATTATTCCCTTCAAAATATTTCAAAAACATCAAATTTAACTTTATCATAAACTTCAAATACTAATTTATTCTATATTTTTTGTTGAATTTATTTAAATTAGTCATAATATTATTATTTTTCAATTTTATTATCATCGTCTAAATAATTAACGGTCATGAATAATGTCTACCACATACAATTTATGATTTTTTTATTTTATTTGTAATTTTTAAAATTTTTAACTTTAAAAAATATTTATATGTCAAATCAACGTTGTATCACGTGTTTATATGAACAATGAAAAATTATGTGAGCTTATCACCAACATGTTGAGACTTATTTGAATAATTGGAGTTGAAATCAATCCTTAGTATGGATAATGCTACATAAAAAACTTTCTATAATTTCTAGAACATAATTTCTAAAATAGATTTTTCGAAATAGAACTTTTAAAATAAAGATTTCTAGTTATATAACTACAAGAGTACTCAAAAATAAAAATTTTAAAACAAACTTTTCAAAATATAATAAATATTGAGTTAAGTTTACATATTACTTTTTAACATAGTATCATAATTCTAAGTTAAAGTCTATTCTAATGAAACTTTTTGTTTGTTAGGTCTATTGTTTTACTTGATATTGGACCACCATCTATTAATATCAAGTCTTATACTTGAAATATATTTGTCTTAATGTGAGGAAAGTGTGTTGAAGATCCAACATTAACAAAAAATAAAATAATTTCATAATATATAAATAAGTACAAACTTTATCTTACAGATTATTTTTGTAGAATTGAGTAAATTTAAACCCATTTATTAACAAAATATATAAGATATATTATAAAATGAGTTTTTTTGGAAGGAGCCTTCCATAACAAGTTTGGGAGTTACTCCTTCCACCACCACCACACACCTTCTCATTTCTTTTTCACCCCTCAGTTTAAACAGATGACGGATGTGAATATGCATTTGTTTCTTAAACCGTAATTGAATACAAGAGTTTTACTCTTTTGTTGTGTAAGATCTTTTCCCCATATAGATAAATCTACACTCAGTTGAGCCGATAGTTTCATGATGCAGTCAACTCAATCAAGCTATTCAAACCTTTTTTATTTATGGATTTTTTGATTAAGAGCTTCGGGAGTCTGATAACTTCTAAGTTTCCATTATCTTTTCTAATTATTTGATGATATTTTCTATACCATTTTATGGCTAATAGCAAACTTGTAAGTTTTGACTAGGAAATAAAGTATTTGGCTAACTGAAAAATCTTGTGAATTGATGATTTCTTCTGCAAGTTGGGAATTGTTGTGTCACTGCTGCAGTTCTCATTGCAAATATGTTGTTTGATGATCTTCAACATGTGGTTCTGTGGAGTTTCCATGTGAATGCTCCTTCAATGGAGAGAGCGAAAGAGAGATTGTTGAGGAAAAATGGAAGTACTCCATAAGTGAATTAGAAAGAGATATAAAGGAAGACAAATATATCATGTTAGGTTATGCCTATACACGTTACAATAAGATAATGGAGGAGGTTTAGGATATTTTTGGAATAAAAAAAAATAATGGGAAGATGTAGGGAACATTTGGGGTGATGAAGGGAGTAACACCCAACAAGTTTTCCTGAACAAATGAAATGAGATTCAACATGAACTTTTTTAAAACACCCGAAAAATAAAGCTTTACGGGCCAGAAGCCGAAATCAAACATAAATAAAGGTTTTCTTTTGCAGCCCCTTTCCAAACTATCCTTCATTAAAAATATAATAAAAATTTTCTCTACCTCCTTATTTTTAATATTTTTCATATTAGATTTCTGATGATATTTCCAGATTTAGAAAACACCTTTTGGAATATCCATTTTTGAATATAAGAAAGAAATTTTCAGAGTTAATATTTCAGAACGTATTTCGAGATCTGAAAATGTCTTTCAAAACACTTATTTTGATTTTTTTTTATATTTCAAAATACTCAATACAAAATATAAAAAACATTCTGAAACCTTTTGGAATATTTCTAGATGACTATTTTGGAAGGTATTTTCGGATCCAAAATGTCTTATGGAATAGTTATTCAAGAATATAGAAAAAAATTACAGAATGAGTGTTCCAAAATGTTTTCCCAGATTTGAAATGTCTTCCAAACATCTATTCTATAAATGTTTTTTCTTATTTAAAAGTATATTTCTGAGTTCGAAATGTATTTTTGAATCAAAAATATATTTTAGAACAATTATTCCAAAATACAAAAGAAAATCCAAAAGAGGATGTTCCAAAAGCTATTTATCTTCCGGAGCGTATAAAACATAAATCTTTGATGTAACAGTGAATCCAGAATTCTTACACCCCATTTTCACATTCCTATTATTACAACATTTTTAATGGTTTTCAAATGTCAATGAGAATCTAGTAAGCAAAAATGCCATGCAACACGAAGAAAGAGATAGATGGAGGATAGAAAAAAGTTAGTTTTGTTAGAAAGTAATAAAGTACTTTTAAAATCTAAATATGGAGTGTTATAAGTTTTGTTGGTTAAACTTTTTTTTTTGTTTATCTACCCAAAAAGTTAATAAAATTAGTTAATTTTAAAAAAAAAATTATGGGTCAAATTGGGTATGCTACTATTTCTGAATTAACACATTTATACGTAAGGATAAAAATATTTTAAAAAATTTTGGTAGTAAAATTCGATTACAGGAGACTGAAGTGAAGGTCTAAAAACGGGTCTATGAAATGCCTATTTTTTCTTCAATTTCTAAAACTGCAAATGCTTTTCTTTGAGGTGATTAGAATATTATTAAAGCGATACTTACCGAAATAGAAGAAAAAGTGTGTTCGTGGTGTGGCCGTAGCTTTCAACACGTGAAAACGACACTCACAGATTAGATAACAAAGTAACAAGTTCCATGTCCATAGTAAATTAAAATATAAAAGAAACTAAAAAGGTAGAAAAGTGAGAAAGAGATATGTTAGCTTTATGAACAAAGATAGATACAAACACCAATCAGAACCTAACCATATAAAGTATTGATATCACTTAATAAATTAATGAATCTTTCATCTTTATATATTGTTTTGCTTTTTTATTTCTATTTACTGTGAGATTTAAAATTACACTTAGATTCACAACAAGAAACTCCCAGAAAAAATAACTGAATAATAAATTTTAAACCTAATTGGATTTCATAAAATAAGATATAAAAATAGAAAAAAGAAAAGAAAAGATGCATAGAAGAAGAGGTTTAGCATTGACCATTGAAACCGTAGTATGAAACTCTCCCCCACACACAAATGATGAATTTGGATACGCATCTATAAGTATAAGTCGTGTGGTTCATATAGAAACAAGAAAATTCAGAAGACTCTTTAGGGACTGAAATTTCTGGTTTCAACACCCCTTTGGTTTGGTTTTCACATGCAAATTTTTAGTACATATATATATATATACACACACAAGTCTTTGGGTCATTATCTTTTGCATGATAATTGATATTTTATAATGATTTCTAGGGTTTGAGGAGAGGTAGGCTAGAAAATATTGATCACCATGAGTTCCCACTAAGAGAGCAAAAGGCCAAGTGAAAGAGGAATGAGCAAATGATGAAGGCACTTTTGTATGGCTTTAGTGGGATTTTAGGCTTTAGTGGGTTTTTGTGGATATTGTGATAGAAATTATGAGTCCCATGACTCTCTCTCACACACATATTGACACCACCAAACCAACATGCCTAAGATTTAGATTCTTGTGTGATATAAAAAGTGACATTTTCACAAGCAAAACGGTCCACGCCTTTATGGTGTTGGATCTGTTTGTGTGCAATCCTAATAGTATGTATGTGACAACCTCACATGTCACTTACACCACACATCCACGACACCCCTATCCTTTCTCTTTCCTATTTTATGGACCCTTCTCTTCTTCTTCCAACCAAATTTCTACAACAACGTTAAATCAAATTTGGTAGATTGTTTATTAAGGATGTTATCTTATTTTTGGTTTCTGATTGTCTAAATGAATTTATGAAAGACAAAATATATTTATGAACAATACACAAATAATCAGACACATAATTTATTAATATCACTTTCAAAGATACAACTTTATTGTAAAATGTTCAAGTTTTTCATCTTTAATTAATGTACGACTTATCCTTACTTTAATTTCTAACAATTTCTTTCTAAATGGTGAGTTTTTTTTTCTATTGATACACTCTTTCTTAAATACAAGCATTACGACTACGAGTACTACAATAGTGAAATTTTGAATAGGAGATAGAAGAAGTAGTATGATGGGGAAGTTTGAGATAATGGAAGAGAAGATGAGAGTAATTGAAAGCACATAAAATGTTTTTTCACTTTGTGAAAATAGTTATTTGTCTCGTGTTTAGTGCTTTTCCATCTTGTGACTACTCACTCACGAACTTCACAACTCTTCTTCTACTTTTGGGTTTTCCTCTCTCTCAAACTCCTACCCTTCTCGTGATTCTCCCTACCAACTTTTCTTTTTCTTT